GCATGATAGGTCCACTTTAAGTTGACTATGTTATGTGCTAAATATCTATGGATGTGGGACAGAGGAAGTTGTCATCACATGGTTCAGTCCTTAAACCCTTAGATAAGGTGAACAAACAGGCGCATACGTGTTATAATTGCCCAAAATATTTCCATTGGGTTTCTGCAGCTTTTAGTAAATGCTGCGCATGTGTTCAGTTGCTGTAGAGTTTCTTCATGTGGAACATTTGTCTTTTTATATCTGCATAATATTATAATGGAAGTGTTTTCGGCCGCCGTAAGACGGTGACAATCAGAGAAAACAACAAAAGTACCAGATGAATTACCTTCTGGAAGATGAAGAGGGAGGGGAAGGTTCTGGAGATGTCCAGCTTGATGAGGTCCAGACTGGACTCTCTGTCGGCCAGAGAGGCTCCGTCTGAAACACAGGAGAGACTTTGATGATGTTTATGTTTTAATGTCATATTCTCAGCTCTGAATATCCACGTGTGACGTTTTCATATTCAATATGTGAGCTGTGTGTGGTACCGCTCTCAGTGTCGTTGACGGAGCTCGTCTCGCTGTAACTCCTCCACTTCTCTTTGGCTCTGGACAGGAAGATCTCATACAGCTCTACACACACACACACACACACACACACGGGTTTTAATATTGAAAACACATTTTAAATAACAGATAATAATACAAAATATATATAACATTTAAACAAAATGTATGTAACTGTACAAATAATAACAAAAAACAGAAAAAAAACATGGGTGTGTGTGTGTGTGTACCTGGTGTGATGTTGAGCTCGTTGCCGATGGCGAGGCTCCACACTCTTCCTCTGACGCTGGGAGGAAGACCCTGCCACCACAGATCCCTCACCCGCCTCGTCGCCTTCCTGCACACACATAAAGAAGTATAAACATGCTGCACACGACACACACACACAGTATATATAAAACACACACACACACAGTATATATAAAACACACACACAGTATATATAAAACACACACACACAGTATATAAAAACACACACACAGTATATAAACACACACACAGTATATATAAAACACACACAGTATATATAAAACACACACACACTATATATAAAACACACACACACAGTATATATAAAACACACACACAGTATATATAAAACACACACACACACAGTATATATAAAACACACACACACAGTATATATAAAACACACACACACAGTATATATAAAACACACACACACACAGTATATATAAAACACACACACACACAGTATATAAAACACACACACAGTATATATATAAAACACACACACACAGTATATATAAAACACACACACACACAGTATATATAAACACACACACACACAGTATATATAAAACACACACACAGTATATATAAAAACACACACACAGTATATATAAAAACACACACACAGTATAATAAAACACACACACAGTATATAAAAAACACACACACAGTATATATAAAACACACAGTATATAAAAACACACACACACAGTATATATAAAACACACACACACAGTATATATACAACACACACACACATATATAAAGCACACACACACACAGTATATATAAAACACACACACAGTATATATAAAGCACACACACACACAGTATATATAAAACACACACACAGTATATATAAAGCACACACACACACAGTATATATAAAGCGCACACACACACACAGTATATATAAAGCACACACACAGTATATATAAAACACACACACAGTATATATAAAACACACACACAGTATATATAAAGCACACACACACACAGTATATATAAAACACACACACAGTATATATAAAACACACACACACAGTATATATAAAACACACACACAGTATATATAAAGCACACACACACAGCTGTGTGTACGTACATGGTGTCCCAGTGCGGCAGGATCTCTGTGTTCCAGACGATCATGGCGTTGGAGATGCTGTCCTCCTGGCGGTGTCTCTCCTTCATCTGACGCTTCTTCCTCTGCGCCTCCTTCATCTCTGCACGACACACCAACGCACACACACACATTTAGAGAGATTGAATAACTGTGTCTGAGCCAATCAAATTACAGCAGAACAATCGCTCTGCAATAGAAAAGTGTGGGAAACTTGGCCAGAAAAAACAGCAGATGAAGACAAGAGGTAGTTTTGGACACAGGTTGTAATTATGTTGTTTATATTTGTGTGTGTCAGTTTGTGTGTGTGTGTGTTTGTGTGTGTGTGTGTGTGTGTGTGTGTGTGTGTGTGGTGTGTGTGTGTGTGTTTACCTCTCCTCTTGGCTCCTGCCACCATCTCATCATACTCCATCTTGTGTCTCTGAGTTTCCTCCAGAGATTTGGGGGCAGGTTCCTGCAGGACGGAGGATTCAGACACACTACATCAGAAACTAAAAACTAAATAACCCTCTTACAGCTCAGGTTCTGCGGCAGTGGGGAAGTATACATTAAACCAGTATGCAGCCGTCTGTACTGGTGGTAGCTGATGTTGTCTCATGGTACTCACGCTGGCCGGTCCTCCAGGATCAGCGCTGTGGTGGAGAGAGGCTCAAACTCCAGGTTCTTCCTCCGTCCTGCAGCCGAGGCCAGCTGAGGACAAGAAGGGTCCAAACTCCTGGTCATCCTGCAGACATTGAAACACAAACCAAGTTAAATAACCAGGTGTATATCAGTGTGTAGTGTCTCTACTTTAAAGAGTCCTCTCCTGCTGATGTTCAGGTGTATATCAATATGTAGTGTCTCTACTTTAAAGAGTTCTCTCCTGCTGATGTTCAGGTGTATATCAGTATGTAGTGTCTCTGCTTTAAAGAGTCCTCTCCTGCTGATGTCCAGGTGTATATCAGTATGTAGTGTCTCTACTTTAAAGAGTCCTCTCCTGCTGATGTTCAGGTGTATATCAGTATGTAGTGTCTCTACTTTAAAGAGTTCTCTCCTGATGATGTTCAGGTGTATATCAGTATGTAGTGTCTCTACTTTAAAGAGTCCTCTCCTGCTGATGTTCAGGTGTATATCAGTACGTAGTGTCTCTGCTTTAAAGAGTCCTCTCCTGCTGAGGTTCAGGTGTATATCAGTATGTAGTGTCTCTACTTTAAAGAGTCCTCTCCTGCTGATGTTCAGTGTATATCAGTATGTAGAGCTCTACTTTAAAGAGTTCTCTCTCCTGCTGATGTTCAGGTGGATATAGCAGTATGGTAGAGTCTCTACTTTAAAGAGTCCTCTCCTGCTGATGTTCAGGTGTATATCAGTATGTAGTGTCTCTACTTTAAAGAGTCCCTCCTGCTGATGTTCAGGTGTATATCAGTATGTAGTGTCTCTACTTTAAGAGTCATCTCCTGCTGATGTTCAGGTGTATATCAGTATGTAGTGTCCTCTACTTTAAAGAGTCCTGTCCTGCTGATGTTCAGGTGTATATCAGTATGTAGTGTCTCTACTTTAAGAGGTCCTGTCCTGCTGATGTCAGTGTATATCAGTATGTAGTGTCTCTACTTTAAAGAAGTCCTGTCCTGCTGATGTTCAGGTGTATATCAGTATGTAGTGTCTCTACTTTAAAGAGTCCTGTCCTGCTGATGTTCAGGTGTATATCAGTATGTAGTGTCTCTACTTTAAAGAGTCCCTCTCCTGCTGATGTTCAGGTGTATATCAGTATGTAGTGTCTCTACTTTAAAGAGTCCTGTCCTGCTGATGTTCAGGTGTATATCAGTATGTAGTGTCTCTACTTTAAAGAGTCCTGTCCTGCTGATGTTCAGGTGTATATCAGTATGTAGTGTCTCTACTTTAAAGAGTCCTGTCCTGCTGATGTTCAGGTGTATATCAGTATGTAGTGTCTCTACTGGATGCATGTCTCCATGCTTTAATGTTTCAAAAAGGTAATAATAGTCATCTTAATCTGAAACGTGCATCAAATACACCGGAAAGAAAATACAATAGAATACAAATTTAAATATGTTTGTCAAAGAACATGTTCAGTGGGAAGTAAATACAAACAATTGAGATGTTGTACCAAACCACAATCCACACACACACGCTTATAAACAGAGTTATTGTTCGTCAGCTGCGGCACAAAGTCGGTTTTGTTGGAGGATAAGCTCCGCAGAGAGAATCTGAATAAATCTCCATCTGTGTGTGTGTGTGTGTGTGTGTGTGTGTGTGTGGACACCATGCACAACAGACAGTGTATTCACAGGATCAACAGACAGCTGTGGCTCTGCCAGCACAACAAGCCTTTCATTGACAGATCCCAGATCAGCAGCAGGGGGCGACAGAGAGCCGAGTCTCTTTGTGACCATGTTAAACTTCCTGTTGTCCTGTCAAATCTCAACCCGCTCCCAAAACGTCTTTATGTTAGGATAAAGGTTTGTGTTATGTTGGTGCCAGAAACAGAACATGTTGCACTACGTTTTCCACGAGAAATCAAGATCTCTTTCATTTGATTTTGTGTTTATTCAAAGTTAGCATTTGTGGTCAGTTTTTGGTTCTCAGATATTAGGTTTGATTTTGTGTAATTGAGATCTATTGACCATACATTTCAAAAAGAAGAGTATTACTTGTGGTACTAAGTAGGAATACAGTTGCCTTAAAAGGTGTAACTCAGATTTGGGTGATCATGTATACTATATGCTTTAAAAAGAGTTAAACTGGGGATAGGAAGACAACACAAGGCAGCCGGATGAAGTCACGTGACGCTAGGGCTGTGGCGATTATGGCAAAAATCATAATCACGATTATTTGGGTCAATAATTGATATCACGATTATTAAATACGATTATTCATTGACTTTGAAAACATCCATTTATTGAACTTTGAAACAAATACAAATAATAATTTGAACAGTATCTTGTTAACTGTGGATTACCCTGAACGTAGAATTCAACTGAAAAAACCAATACAAAAATAAATAAATTATACATTTAAATAATAATATCAAAATAATAAATACCAATAAACAAGATCAACAATATTTTGGAGCGCACTTCCACAAGCTACTAAACATATATAAATATGATAAATACAAATAAATGAGACAAAAATTAATTAGATCAAATATGTCACAACCTAGCAAAATAATTGTTTTTTTCTATTATGTTGTTTTCGTAATTGTGGCAGGCCAAAATCGTAATTGCGATTAAAATACGATTAATCGCACAGCCCTACATCAGATGCAACATGTTTTAGGCAGCCGGATGAAGTCACGTGACGCACTGGTGAAATAAATGTGATGTTAACCAAACCTCAGCAGGTAAAGCTCCACTGTGACGAGACAGAGTAGAAAGAGTCGGCTTACATTCTGTCTAATACATGTTTAGTGTAGTATTCACCCTAAGATGCAGAGAGTGAGCACCCTGCAGACATTACTTTTATGAGATCAGTATTACTACACATGTGAACAACCCTCACATCACCAAATCTACTTATTTATCTAAATAGTTATCACAGCAATAAACCGTATTTAATTGTGTCTTAATGTACATTATTTAATTTCACATTCTGTTCTTGTACATATCATATTCTATGTACATGGATATAGACTTCTTATTATACATGTTGCCTTGCTGGAGGAGCTCAGGTCACGAGAGTTTCATTTCTACTCTGTGAGCACATGATGATAAAACCTTTGAGTCTTGAATCTTTGAATCACAGCGGAGGAGTTTGAGGAGGAAACACCAGCCGAAGGGACAGCTCTGTGAGTTCAACTGGACTGTCTGGAGGAGACGCTGGAGAGTCACATCTCCTCGGACACTCCTTTGAACCAGAAGCCGTCAGGCTGGAGAGCCCATGGTCATCATGCCGTTGTGTCCTTGGGCAAGACACTTCACTCTAATTTCAGGGTTCATACACTTTTTCACAAATGATTTTCAATGACTTCTCCAGGACCTTTACCTCATTTTCCATGACCAAAAAAAGTACTCTCAGCGGGTACCACTGAAAATGGTTTATTTGAACATGGAACAGGAAAATCAGGTCTGCATATGAAACATGTTGTGCCTTTCTAAAACAAATCAAATAGGCTTACTAGCTTCTACTAAAATCTCTCAGCAGCGAAACACCTCGTCAGTTAAAAGCCATTTCACGTTTCCTTACTATACGATACAGTATTTATTATCATTATAGTATTACTATTTTGGCGATTAGATAAAATATAAATTATATTTGATGCAACTTTAGTTACATTTCCATGACTTTTCCAAAACTTTGGGAAAAATATTGTTTTCCAGGGCCTGGAATTAGCATTTTCAATTTCCATGACTTTTCCAGGTTTTTAATGACCGTAAGAACCCTGTAATTTGCTCCTGAGGGTATTGTCCACAGAGTTGATGTATTACATGTCTACTATATGTTAAATGTAATGTAAAGCGCTAAATAAATGTAATGAATTATTATTAACCGTGAAACCTATTTGAAAAAACCCTGCAGTTTGCCTTTCACTGTTTATGTAAACAACTAGCTTCACTCATATCGGTATATATGTACATCTGATCAGTGTTTGTGTTCTTATTATCCTCGTGTGAACTGTTATCTATACTCTCCTGTGTTTCACTCTGCTGCTTCAGCGCCTACAGGGATCCATAAGGTGTATTCTCTCTCACATGATCACCATCACAGTCAGGATGAGCGCCTCAGAGATATTTCCTGACGCACTGAATTCAAAGCAAAACCGTGTGAAAGCCAGCTCTCCTCCTCCTCCTCCTCCTCCTCCTCAGTCTGACGTGTCAAAGCTGAACAACATCTGGTCGACTCCCGTCATCAATCATCCGGCTGCTGTCATGTGATCAGACGCTCTGCTGTTAGCATGGCTAGCATCGTCTGCTCTCTACCGCTACACAGAGAGGTCAGAGGTGAACCCTGGGTCAGGATCAGGAGATGGGTGTGGTTCTTCATCATGTGGTTCTTCATCTTCATCATGTGTAGAAACGAGATTTCACTGTTTGTCTCGAATCCAAACAGAGAGAGGGAAGACGCTTGTGTGTGTGTGTGTGTGTGTGTGTGTGTGTGTGTGTGTGTGTGTGTGTGTGTGTGTGTGTGTGTGTGTGTGTGTGTGTTAACTTACAATCTGCTCTAGATGACAGGAGAGGAAAAGCTGTGTGTGTTTAAGTGTGTCACTGATGGCAGAGAAATTATACTATGCAGCAAGAGAGGGGGATAGAGGGTTGCATTGTGTGTGTGTGTGTGTGTGTGTGTGTGTGTGTGTGTGTGTGTGCTCAGCTGCAGCAGGCAGTGTTTGCAAGTTGCCTGGCGACCAAATAAACTCACATACAAACACAATCTATTTAACAGCCTTATTGTATATTGTAAACAGACGCAGGCTAACAGCATTAGCCTCTGCAGCTAATGACATACACAGACACACACACACACACACACACACACAAACACGCACACAGGCCGACCAATCAAACGTCTCACACTGTGCACAGACGTCACTGTGTGTTCAGGCTTTAAAGAGACAGGTTGGATGGTTCACAGTGGGGGTCAACAATCAGTGTTTTGCCTCCAGTAGAGCGCGGTTAGCACTTTGCAGTTTGGAGTAAAAAGCTCCTTCAACAACAGGCACTGCAAACCATGAAACTACCGTCGTCTTCTATCCAGAAAGAGCGTCTACATTACAGTGAATTAAATTGACATTGGCTGAGGCTGAAGCGACTTTAAACAGATGCACTCCAACTCAAAGCAGCATGAAATCTGCAGCCACATTTGTTTCAAACAAGCAGATTAAGAAGCCATTTTGAGACCAAACCCATGTTGGCATCTGAGCTCCACCGTTAACCCCACACTCCATACTGGTGCTGGCATGTGATTTAAGAGCCATTCCTCAGGTTATTAGCTGTATTTATTTTGAATATGTTAGTTTCTTTTTCCCTCCACAACCATCTGGTGGCCCCGCAGCAGAAAGACCTTTCATTATTATCAAGAACAACTGATGTTTTCTGACATATTTGAGCTTTCAAATCCACCAAACACTCGAAGAGCTTCATCTGTGTGTTTTCTAACATCCTCCATTTGTTGTGATGGTGTGAAGTGTAGGTGTGAGTGTGAGTGTGTGTGAGTGTGGTGTGAGTGTGTGTGTGGAGTGTGTGAGTGGTGTGTGTGTGAGTGGTGTGTGAGTGTTGAGTGTGTGTGTGTTGTGAGTGTGTAGTGTGTGTATAGTGTGTGTGAGCTTGTTGGAGTGTGTGAGCTTGTTGGGTGGTGGTGTGTGTGTTGGTGTGTGGGAGAGTGTGAGTGTGTGTGTGTGTGTGTGTGTGTGTGAGAGTGTGAGTGTGAGTGTGGTGTGTGAGAGTGTGAGTGTGTGTATAGTGTGTGTATAGTGTGTGTGAGCTTGTTGGAGTGTGTGAGCTTGTTGGAGTGTGTGTGTGTGTGTGTGTGTGTGTGGGTGTGTGTGTGTGTGTGCGTAGTGTTTGTGTATAGAGCCTGTGAGTGTGAGAGTGTGTGTGTGTGTGAGTGTGAGTGTGATTGTGTGTGTAGTGTTGTGTATATTTGTGTATAGTGTGTGTTGTGAGCGTGTTAGTGGGTATATAGTGTGTGTGAGTGTGTGTGTGAGCTTGTTGGAGTGTGTGTGTGTGTGTGTGGTGTGTGTGTGTGTGTGTGGGGCGCGTAGTGTTTGTGTATAGAGTCTGTGAGTGTGTCAGTGTGTGTGTGTGTGTAGACTGTGAGTGAGTGTGTATGTTTAAGTTTGTGTGTGAGAGTGCTTGTGAGCGTGTTTAAGTTCATGTGAGTGTGTGTGTCTGTATGAGTGTGTGTGTGTGTGTGCGTGTACTGACCTCCTGTGAGCACGGTGTGGATTCGGGGTCTGAAGTTGGATCCTCCTCTCTGGTTGGTGGTTTGCCAAACAGACGCCACCCTGTTGCATTGTGGGACGCCGCCTTGGGCTCTTTGGCTTTCCTAGAAAACAGGCTCCTGAAGAGAGACGGAAACAAAGGGTTAATAAACACTGCTGATTATAATCAACTACAAACATTTAGAATTGTAATTGGTTAGATATTACAAACAGACTCTTGAAACCATCAGAGCTTTTGTTACGTTTCCCTCTCGCCTCTGAAATGTGAAGTTATTCACGTCAGACTCAAAGAGCTGATGGAACATTATTCAGTTCCTCAAAAACAAATGAAAAGCCATAAAAAGTGATGATGAACCGCTCTTCCTCATCGTCAGTCTGCCCACAGTCTGCAGCTGCTGCACTTTCTATCCACACACACACACACACACACACACACACACACACACACACACACACACACACCACACACCACACACACACACACAACACACACCACACACACACACACCACACACACACACACACACACACACACACACCACACACACACACACACACACACACCACACACACACCACACACACCACACAAACACACACACACACACACAACACACACACGACACACACACACACACACACACACACCACACACACAGCACACACACACCACACACACACACACACACCACACACACACACACACACACACACACACACCACACTACACACACACACACACACACACACACACACCCACCACACACACACACACACACACTAAAATCAAATATTATTCTCCTCTCTTCATGCTCCACTTTCTTCCCTTTAATTGTATGAGAGTGTGAGGTTTGTTTTGTTGATGAGTGTGTGTGTGTGTCTGCAAGTGTCAAAAGCTAGCCTCTTTAACACAAGTGAATAAATACTCTACTGTAGAATAAAGACTGTAATCAAGTTTAGAAGCTAACTGGCTTTGTTATGTGTGCTTTCCCCTCTGACCTGAGCCCAAGGTCATATGTTATGTAAACTTTATTTACATTCAGATTATTTTGTATTCCTTTAATCAAAAGGTGTGTTTTGTTGCAGTGGATACACCTCTGAGGAGTCAACTTTGTTTGTTTACTTGCAATTACACACACACACTAACTCATGAGAATGTATGAATTGTTTTTTGGCTTGGGTATAAAACCGTTAATTTGAAGCGTAACTAAAG